TACCAAGTATCAGAATGTCACTTTAAAGAAGAGATTGTAGGATGGAAATTTTCTCCTTCATGTTGGCTCATTAGACTAAGTATAGGAAACAAAAATTTAATAGCACCTTGTTGATCTATCTTCTAATCTCATCATTTTCTATTCTATGAATATCTTTAGACCAAGTTTCTTCATCATTTTTGGAACAAAATATCGTATAGCCTTCTTTTGAAGAACTGAAAAGGATATTTGATATCATTTCTAGTTACATAACAATCTGTTCCACAGCAGAAGTCATTTTGGTTATACTCAGAATGGTGTGAGAGTCCCTGGCTTATGCCAGGCATGTTGGCTCATATAACCTGTATTTATGCCTTTATGGTTTTCCTCATTCATCTAATTGGAAATTTTACATGCTATAAATTTCTAGTGAAAATTAACAGCTACCCACTCATAAACAACCAAAAACTGGATAATACTATTTTTTAAATTCAAATAAAGCCATTTTTTCCTCATTGCTTGAAATTGAACAGTTTATGTAAGTCAATCCAAAAATGTATCTCTAAGTAACCAGTAACATGCCAGCAGGCCCTCACATCTTCTTTACTGCTAGAAACTACAGTTTTCTAACTGATTCAAATATTTTGTTAGCTTTATAATTCTTATCTCAACATCAGATCACAGGGAAGTTGCTTACTACAGTCATCCTACAGATGAACTGACTTTATGAGCACCCAGTTTTGGTTCTAACTTAAAGATGAACTCCCATAAAATTAATGCTTTATACTCTGATCTGGTCCTACAAGCTGGAAGAGCTGAATACCAACATCCGCACAACAGAGGCCATATTTTTGAGCAACAGCATTAACAGCAGCAGAAGCCTCAGCAAAAATGAGAAGCAATGTAAGGGAACACTTTCACAGCCCAAATAATACAGTCCACATGTACTCTGAAAACATTGTTTTTTACATTATAAAAACAGCTATGTAGCATAATGAGTGGCCTATTTTTGAGGGAGAATAATTTCTCCCACACATGCTATTAAAATTTAGTTTTAGGCACATGTATTCTCTATTGGAAAAGGAAATGGCCATTTCTGCAATTGACAGTAGTAAGAATAGTAGTCAATTTCTTGCCATAAAAGGTAGCGCATTTAAATAATGTAAACCTATTTTAATATAATGTTTCCCAAATGACTTTATCTATATCCTAAATTTAGAAAATGAAAAGACTGATGACCATCATGAGTCTCCTGCAAGGAAGACAACAAACTCACATTTGGCTAACCAGCTCCAATTCTGGTATTTCCTGTTCAAGGAATGGTAGTTGGGCTTGCCTACTATCAATGACATTATATAACATAGTCTAAACTGCTTTTTCTAAAAACTACACATGATCCAAAACAACGAAGTTTTGCTCTAATCCATGCCCAGAGTAGATTTTTGTAAGTTCAGTGGTAGAGCACTTGCCAAACATGTATGAGACCTTGGATCCAACCCCCAGCACTACAAAACAAAACAAAACAAAAATCTTTTAAACTTTTATTAAGTCATTTTCCATCTTTGGCAAGTACAAGAAAAGTTTAATCCTTTGGTCCTCTGTCTGGTGTACAAGGAACACCCTTGGCACCAGCATTTGTAAGAATACCGTGAAAGGGATCCTTGTCTAGAATGAACTGCACCGAAATCATTATTGCAGGCTTCATATCTGGCACTAAACAGTTGTAAATGCTAGTGAATAAAAGAAATAAACATCTTTCATTTTCTAATTTGGGGAAGGGAAATAAGTAGAAAAATATAAGCTCTGAGATCCCTCAGTGACTCTACAAAGAGTAACCATGCGTGGTTAAACCTGGATCTCTCTAATTAGCAAAGAGCACAGGACATCGCAAAGTGCATGAGGCAAAACTGAGTACTAATGATTTGCCAAAGCACTTTTTCAATATTCTTCAAAGATAAAACAACTCAAATCTGACAATTTTTTTCTTTTTTGAGGAGTAGGACTGGGATCGTTCTTAATTTTTGAAGCTTTTGAATTTTTGTATATTTTATACACAAAATGTCTCAAACAATCTTCATCATCTTTATACCTCAGTCCCCACTGTCACCTTTCCATAGCCTCCCCTCCCCCACTGGAACCTATATACGCTGTCATACGTGTTAAGGCCCAATGTGTCAAGTCAGTGTCTCCAGACGTTCCCCAGTGCAAGTTCATACACTGAGGTCTAGTCAGCCTATCTAGAGTCTCTTATTTTAGGAAGATCAGCTCTTCCTCACTTAGCAGAGATCAACTGTCAATATATTTTTCAGATAAGATTGGCGTCTGCTGTTCATTTTCCCAAGGCTACGCTGGGTTTTTTTCTGCCTGAGTTTGCATGGGACTTATGTATGCTGACAGCATTGCCATAGAATCAAATGAGCAGGGTCCCAGGAGCTTGTTTCCATATGGTCTTGCACCTCCTCCCTAGCTCTTACAATCTTCCCATTCCCTCTTCCACGATGGTCCCTCAGCCCTGGGTGGATGAAGTTTAATACAGGAATCCTGTCCAAGGACCAGCATTCTGAAGACTCTTAATCTCTACCTTTTGGCCATTTGCGACCTTTTGTGTTCCTGGTCCTCTGTTGCATGAGGGAGCTTCATTAATGACTCTACTATGGTTAGAGTTAAAAATATATCCATTTGTTACATAAATAATAATATTAACATACATATACTGATGGAAAAAAATATTATGATGGGGTGGCTAAAGAGAAGAGGCAAAGTACTGCTCAATTTTCATCACTTATGAGGAACTTAGCATGCCTTAGGTTTTGCATACCCAGTATTCTTGTATTAAGAAATTAAAGAATTGTATAAACAAAACTAAAACTATACAAACAAGCACAAACCAAGAGTAGCATATTAGTCTTTTCTGCTTGCTCTATATATACCATAAACAGAAACAAGAAGACAGAAGAGGAAAAACACAATTGTGTATTCAAATCATTCCCACTGCCTAGACCTATACGAAAAGTTCTGTTCTAATGTCAACATCATGATTATTATGTAGCAGGCAGCAACATGATGAGGGGGCAAGAGTCTGAAATAACTAGAAAACCAAAACACTTTAACATTAAGTAAATTAACTTTATAGTATTTCTTTTCAAAAGCCAATTGTACTTGGCCACAATAAGCAAACTAAGCTAAGATCCCTAGTAAGCCACAAGCACCTCAAACTGAACAAGTGACAATAAAGAAGCAAAACGTTAGAAAGTTGACCTCTGAGTATCACCAGTTTATCAATAACCATCTCTGTGTGCACAAGTTATAACAGTCTGTCTCCTCTTAAATGGGGAGAAATGAAAATACTAACATTTTTTTTGTCTGCTTTGCTTTTGATTTTATTTGAATTAAACTATCATTAAGCTATCATGCTGGGCATGGTGGCACATGCCTTTATTCCCAGCGCTTGGGAGACAGAGGCAGGCAGATCTCTGTGAGATCTCAGCCTAGTCTACATAGCAAGTTTAAGTCCAGCCTAGTCAACACAGCAAGTTCCAGGCCAGCTGGGGCTACAGGGAGACCCTGTCTCAAAAAGAACACACACACAAAAAAATAATGAATTAAGCTACCATAATGTAGATGACTTTTAAAAACTTGACTTTTCCTTTTGATCAGGCTTTGCTACAGACATTATGACATAATTGACTAAGGAAAATGGGATCTGGTCCAACAGGTTACATTTGCTAGTAGGTAATCTCCTGAGTGTTTTATTTCAACAACAATCAATGTGAACCAAGATTGAAAGTGAAAATGTGACTTGAAAAGTATGAAAAGAAAAGACAGCCATGAATAACATGGCAAGTTGGAGGAATGATAAATAAAATCTTACGTACAAATATAGCAGAAAGACAGTCATAATTATTCTAAAGTTATTGAAATGCAGAAGTCTGTAAGAGGAACAAAAGGCATTATATTTCTCTGTCAACAATATTCCAGAATCATTTGGATTTCAGTATTGTTTTTCTATTTTACAGTTATAACCAATTTTTTAAAGATTTATTAATATACTATCAATTGTAAAACATTATTTGTTAGCTATTTTCAACTAGCAAGCACTATTACTTGGAAAATAAATATCAAACTCTAGGCCCAATTCAGGATATTCTGCTTTGAACAGTAAGCACTATATTTCTATTTTAGACTTAATGATAGTAAAGCACATACACTTAATTCTCAGATATAATGGAATTATAAGTCAGTGGAAAATCTGGGCTTAGTGTTTATTTTGATAGAATAATGCATTCCTCAATGTCCGACTAGAATGCTTATGGTCAGAAAATCGATTGTTAAAATTTCATGAATAATTTGTTATTATACGTAGAACATGTAATCAAAACTTCAGTTTAGACATATATCTAAGCATTATTTAACAATGATCAAGCTTTAACTGAGATGTCTACTGACTACAGTTATCTCTTAGCATAATCATGATTAGATGCTAGACAACCATGTTCTATTCGGGCATTTCTTCTTATGAAATTTTACTCAAGAAATTAGCAAATATTTTTTAACTTGAAGGTTTTAAATATCTTCCTGTTAGGATTTCTGTACAAATATGAGAAGCTAAAGTTCACTTATATTTATCAAATTTGTCCTTTAAACCATAATATTGCACATTTAATTAGGAGACAGAGAGTATATATTTTTAAAGATTTCTTCTCTTCTTATTTATAGATATTTGTTCCTAGGTGTTTACTCACCAGCAAATGTAATCAACTAGATATAGCCCTTTAATATTTTGTTGTTCACTGAGAGTACAGTGGTCATCGAAGTTTAACAAAATTCCATTTGTTTCCCAATATTTTCTCAGTGGTAGGCAAAAGCTTCATTTTTATTTTGGCTGCTTTCCAAAACAGCTAGAATTCAAGTTCTTCTGTTTAAATATATCTTTATTAAAGACGTAGGTGCCCTATGAATGCTCACAAAAAATAAAATAACACATTTATGACCAAATAGTGAGAAAGTTGCCAGCAACTTACCAGAATTTCTTTTTGACACCATCTTCAGATTCGTGCTGACTGCAGAACAGACTGCCAGAGCCAAAAGAAACGGCAGTTTCATTGTTCACTTTCTTTGGCAGCTGAAACGTAAAACAAACAAACAAAAAAAAAAGATGAAGTTTGAATCACAATGCACATATATTGGACTCAACGAAACAGAAGTTATAGGTTGACAGCCTCATCTGAAAATCCAAAACACAAAATCCCCTAAAATCTCATTAGGGATGTTCAACATGTAAAGTCTACACAAATTTTCTAAAATCTAAATGTCCAAAATCTGAAAAAAATGGTTGGTTTTAAGCATTTAAGATAAGATATATTCAAACTTCTAATCTTACCTTTTCCAAATGTCCATTGCAGAAATAATGATAGTCTACTGACATCTGGCTTTATTTTTATGGAAGAAAATTTGAAAACATAGGCTTAAATTATGTGAGAGTTTTTCAGCTTAAAACTTCAATGGCTTCAACTAGAGTCAGTAAAATCTGATCACTGTTCTTTTGGCTTTCAAGGACATGAAAGTGGGCTCTCTAGTTGCTTCTTTGATTTTATTTCTTAGCACTCTTTTTTGTTTGTTTATAATCCAATTATTATGTTCATTCCATTTTTCTCTGGACTACCTAAGGTCATATACTTCTCATGGCATTTACACTTAATCTTCCTCTGGAGTTACTTCTCCAACATCTTTATGAAGTTAATTTCCTAAAATCCTACATGTATCAGCATCACAAACAAAGGTCATTTGAGATTATCCAGTCTTAATGCTCATACTTTTGGTCACTTTTTCCTCTCTTTTTTTTGCAAAATCTAAAGTAACTGACAAAGTATAAAATTCGATGGTGATACTGTCTTAACTGGGAAAGGGGTTCTCTAAAGTATCATCACTCAGCATTAAAAAAAAAAAAAAGAAAGCCAAAACCACTTTTCTGGTTTTGTCCACATTTAGATAAGTCTTTTCAGTCAATTGGTTACGTACATGGAAACTCATCAAGGAGTCTTCAAGAATCAGAAGACAAGCAGCATTGTGTTACATCAGGCTCATCATAAGCACAAGATAGATAATGACAAAAGGGGTAGTGAGATCACAGTGCAAAGTGATTACAGTGAAAGCACAGAGACCTTTAGGATAATGAATAGAAGAGAAGATGGGTGTGAAAGCAGAAAGCTGCTGGGTAACATTTAATGATCCATAATTCTGTACAATAATGTTTTTAATAATTGGTTTGTATTTGAAGGTACAGAACCTTACCAGATTGTAACAGTAACAGGGTGATATCAAGTGCTGCCTGGGACCCTATACTCCTTGAATTGGAATCAAAGATCCACTGGATATACAGGGTTCAGAAAATTTCCAGAATTTGGTCAGTATTTAATGAATCAATGCAATTAACTCCTTACTAAAATTCCCTCACTTCATCAATAAAGAGGCCTAGGAAGAAGGAGGAGGTTGTATTTGGATAAAGATGACAGAATTTTCCTTTTCCAGGTCAACCTGTACTATCAAACATTCTGGACTACAGGCATAAATAACCCTGGGGAGAGGCATTGCATTGTAGACTGCCAGATGACAAGGGAATTGAACTAATTCTCACGTACTCCCAAGACACAAAAGACAGATTTTGCTCCAAATGTCCAAGTCGGACTCAACAAATGGGTAATTCTTGCTAGAGACTGCAACATGGGGCCAGATTAGTGCACAGGAGAGGAAAGTGATAGGATGGCACCAGCTCAAGGTGCGACTCAATGTGAAATCAAAATTTGAAAGAGCTTTCCAATGCCCAGTGTAGCTGCCTGGGGAAACCTCTCTTTAGCAGACTGCCACAAGGACTGTTTATAAAGTGCCCAAAGACAGCCAGAAGAGCAATTATGGCCAGCCACAGGGAAGACATACATATTCACAAGCATCTCTCTTTTCCATATTGCTCTTTCCCAGATACTTTCTTCATGAGACAACATCAAAGAATGGATAAGGGTATTAAGAAGAGGAAGGCAAATGTATGAAAGTCTATCATACACTTCCCTAAACTCCATGACAATAGAACCATGTGTGTAAACTTCCAGAAATAGATGAGATAATGTTGGAATCAGATAGTAGTTTGGAGTTAGTAAAAGCACAGGCAACGATGAGACTATTTCAACATCTGAAAGCACTTAAAGCGTTAAAGATTTGGACTTGCATATTTGTCAGTATTCCTATCTCCTAGAAGCAAATGGCAAGTAGAATCAAGCACAGTAAGTTACAATTGGTAGGAAAAATAGTACTCTTTCTTATTTATATTCTAATGAGTTGAAGCATTAATATCAGTTACATTTACTTATTTAGTTGTCGACTCCTTGCCTATTAAAATGTAACCTTCATAGGGGCAACTCTTACTCATTACCTATTATATTTTAGCACCAAACATAGAGTCTAACACATTATTGAAGATCAACAAAACTTTAACAAGTAGAACTCAAGACTTATGTAAGTATTATATCAAGTGTTGAAGATTTCAAATTAAATGGGGTTATTTTAAAGGGAGAAGGGAGGGAAGGTTATACAAGGAACCTAGGGGATAAAGGGAAAGGAGGAGCTCAAGAGAAGTGGGACCACAGGAGTAGGGCATTATTAAGGGAGAAATGGGAAAAATGGGGGCACCTTAAATGGGGAAACCATGGTGGAAGGGTTAGACAATGTGAGAGATAAATAATGCCTAGCTAGTTTTAAAAAACCAGAGGGAACCATTTTAGTCTAACAACCTACTGACAAATTATACATACAACTACATAAAAGAATATAATATATGTCTAGGCAAGGTTTATCTGAGAATGTTTGGTCTTTGCCCATACCTACATGGCACATGTTAATTAAAAGTACCAGACTGGTGGAACTAACCTTCTTGGATGTTTAACAGCCACACTTTGAGGCCTTTAATAATTTGCTCAGAGGGACATAAAGGACAGTTTTGGCTTCTTGCCCTGCTAGGTCGACTAAGTTCCAGGGGACTATGAGAATCTCTCAAAATGTCCTGTAACTGTGGTAAGTCACCTGTCCACTTGATCAAGGACTCCATGGAGACCCCACCAAATGGACTTGAACCAGTGTCCAGTCTACAAAGAGGAGGGTCAACACATAGTAAACATTAACTCCATGTTTCCAAGCAAAGCCAGCCATGGTCGAGCAAGACCTTTGACTTATCTTCACATAGATGGAACTGGTAAAAGGAAGGAGCCAGGAGCTCCTCCCAAGCCCATGTGACCTCTGAGGAACAAATCCTCAAAAGGCCTTGAAACTGTCCATAACTCCAGTCCCAGGGGATCCGACAGCCTCTTCTGACCTCTGCGGCTTTGCACAACTTGGGTGCACTTGCCTACATGCTGGCAATACACGCATACACATAAAATAAAAAGAGTAAATAAATTTTTATTTATTTATTTTTAATTAAAAGAAGCATTTCATTACAACAGCATTAACCTATTCAATAACATTTTTCTGAGCTAGGGTACATCTCTTTCAAAATTGGCTGTACATTTCTAGGTTTACAGATGAATTATTATGCTTATATAATCTTTTAAGAGAGTAAATAAAATTTTTAAAAAAAGAATTTGTGTTTCTACAATGCCAGACAGGAGATACCTTCCTTTGAGTTGTTAGCCAAGGTGTCCCAAGAGACTCCCAGACAGTAACCCAGCATAGAACTTAAACAGCAGACCCCAATCTTATCTAAAGGAATGTTGTCAACTGATTGCTCCTAGATGAGGAACAGCTGATCTTCCTAAAACAAGGATCTCTACATTGGCTGACTGGATTAAGTGGATGGACAAGCACTGGGGAATGGCTGGGGGCACCGACAATGCAATAGACAGTAACAGGGATGACAACATATATGGGCTAGAGTGGGGGTGCTATGGGAAGGTGACTTTTGGGAAGTGGGTATGTAGATGAATAAGATTGTTTGGTATGTTCTACATGATATACACACAAAAAACTCAACAAATAAAAAAATGAGTTATATTTGAAAAAGAAGATTTCAAATTAATGAAACTTCTTAATGTTATTCATTTGTTTGAATATAACAGCTTCTATCTAATATGTGATTATCCACATATGATTTATATCATATTTGCTATTGGCATGAATACCACTGGTACGCTAAACATTTCCTCTTGTCCATCTAAAAGTCCTCTACAGAAATCCTATGTTTTTCTGCCATAAGGCTTTCTGGTACAAGTGAACCTTGACCAGTATAGGAGGTAGAGTGAAAGTACCACATTGGTAATATGTAATGAATAATTCTTAATCAACTCTAATAGTTTTGGATGAATATCCCAGATCCCTCAGTCCTTGGTATGTTCCAGTACAAATAAGTGGCAACTTACTCCTTAGTATGCTCTCTATTTTTATTTAATCTTCTCTAGTTTATTGCTCACTCCCATTAAATAGTTACCTTAGGTGACTTTCCAAGCCAACTACCTGCAACTTAACCCTTGTCTTACAAATCACTTTTTGAAGAACTGAAACCAAAACTGAGCAAAGACCATTAAGTCCTCAATATATTCTTTATTCATCATAGACCATATTAACCAAATTTCCATCTCAGAAGAATGTATAAGCTCTAGAATTTCAAATTTTTCCTGAACTACATGCCTACTTTAGCTCTTGGTTCTTATCTTCCTACTTAAATTTTCTATCACCCCCCATAACTTTGTTAAGAACTACTGGCTCCTGTCTGATTCCTGCTGCTATGCTCATTTTTCAAAATATTTGTGTTAATTCTTTGAGAACTTCATGCAATATACTTTTATCACAGTTTACCCTTCCCCAGTTCCTTCCAGATGCATCCCACTTCCTTACTCAACCCATTTTATGTCTATTTTTCCTTATCAGGTCCGCTGTGTGATACCCAAATAATCTTGGGTGTGAAACCTGCCCTGGATTGTAGTTGAGGTCACACTTTTAAAGAAAACTGACTTTTCCTGTCCCTATAGCTACTATATGCCAATAGCTCCTTGGTTAAGGGTGGAACTTCATGCCCACCTACCCCACTGTGCTGGCATTTTGTCTGGCTTGAGCTTGAGCAGGTCTTGTGATGTTGTCCTAAGTATCGTGTATACAT